GCCCGGGAAACATACAGCATTGAACAGAGGTCCAATTTTAAAAGACAACACTCAACTCCATTTGTCTTATAAAACTGATAGAACCAGTTTCTGACCCTGGTGTATCCATGGTTACCAGGTTCATTTCCCTGCCCAAAAGACAGGAAAAAACACCCAAGTAGTTGGAAGGTAACTACCAGCATTTGGGTAGCCTGGTGGAACCGTGACACAGCATCAGACATCTGCTTTTGTTTGCAGAACAGGTGGCATGTGCCCTTTGTTCCATTTCCTTTCTTCCCCTCTCCTGAGTTGCAAGGCCCCCACCTGCCTGTCCCAGCTGCTGGTGAGGGCTGTTGGTCATGTTTGTTGGTCCTCAGATGATTGAGATTAAAAGTGTCTTAACTTGTCAGATTAAATACGCCTGCCTCTGGAAGCCTGAACTGAATGTGCTGGGCAGAGTCCTTGGATTTTTTTGTAGTGGGAATTCAGTCATCTTCGTGGAATCCTTGTGTGCTTTGCAACATGGATGTGCTTAGATTTGCATTCTGCTTTGAAGTCTAGAGACTTCTAAAAAGAGAAAAGACATTGCTAACACCACATAGATCTTCCTGGGGAAGTTGAAATATTTGTGTGACCTTGAAACATAGGACTTGTGCATTTGGAAGAAGATGGCTAGGCTATGTAGACTGCTGAATTAAAAAAATATATATATATATTATATATGTATATTTTTGTATGTGTATATACACACACACACACACACACATATATATATATATATATATATATATATATATAAAATGCAAGCAATCACAAACTGCTAGGTGGCATCTAATTCTACTTTTAATCAACAGTTTGGGAACTGTTGATTAAGAGGTGACCCCTTGTAGTCACATGATGAGTGGCCACGGTTGTTTCCTGGGAGGTGAGCTTCTCCGTGTTTCAGATTTGCCAGCTACACAGGCACCACTGGTTTCCCTGTCTGCTTTGCTGCCTTTCTCTTCTTGCTTGTTTCTGGTTCCACAGTTCAGCTCAGCCTTCCTGTGGCACAGTCTGTGGGCTAGTGATGCTTCCAGGGTACCTGAGGGTACGGGGAAAAGGCCTTTGTGTTCAGGGGCCATGAGGGATCAGCACTTTGGATCTCAAAGTTAAACTGTTACCCTCTATCCAGTTTCCCCCAGTGTCAATATCTTGCAAAACTATGATTTAATACCACAATTAGATTTCTTCTCTGCATTACAGGAAGCCCATAGTCCTTTTAAGTGGAATTGTTTCATTTAAAAAGGCTTTATAATGTGCTATTTAAAAAGGCTTTATAATGTGCTATTTAAAAAGAGCAAGCTATAGAAAAATGTACAGTATGATGTGCAATTTTACAGAGTTCAAGAGAAACCGCATGTGTTGTCTGGAGATATACACCATATGTAGTAAAATAAAGGAAAGCAAAGCAATTACAGAAGTCGTGTCTAACTGTCATCTCTAGGGAGAAGGGGCCGTGAGATGGAACAGGGATTGCTCACAGGGAACAGATTTGGTGGTGCTCAACTTCTTAAGTTGGTGCATATATAGAATTTTAGTATTCATCTGCTTTATAACCTACACGTATATTTCTCTTCTAATAGTATCATCCTTTGTCATAAATATAATAAGAATGCTTAGAAAGCAATGTCTTAGCACAGTTCTCATTTTGGGCCCCTTTGTATTAATATTTTAAAATTACAAAAATAATAAAAGGAACTGCAGAGGGAGGGAACTTCTACAACCCCGCACCCATGACACAGCTACTGTTTCATTTTATGCTCCCTGTACAAATAGCTATGGCTGTTTATGTTCTTAGTTATAATCGCAGTACACGTAGCTGTTCATCTTACACAGTGGACTGATGGTCTTTCTATAGGGTGGTTTTCATGGCTTAGTGATATTCCCATGAGTAGAATTCCCTGGGTGGTTTTCATGGCTTAGTGATATTCCCATGAGTAGAATTCCCTTGGTGAATAAACTGTTTCAACTTCTCCACTGTTCCAGAGTATCGTCAGGGTTCTTACATTTATTCCACAACTAATTCCCTACACTGAAGACATTCTGCTACATATTAGAATTATAATGATAAGCCCAAAGAGCTTTAATCTCCATATGCTTGTGGAATTTGGAATCTAATGAAGAACAGTTCCTGATATATTTTTTTTTCATTTTGACCACATCTGTCCTTAGACTTTAACTTTTTATTTTAGTGAATTTTGGATTCACATGTTATTGTGAGAAATGAAACAGAGACATTCCATTATGCTCTCCACTCAGTTTCCCCCAGTGTCAATATTTTGCAAAACTATGATATAATACCACAAATAGGACATGGACATTGAAACAGTCCACCAGTCTGATGGCACCAGTTTTACATTTGTTCATTTGTATGTTTGTACGTCTGTACGAGTCTTCTGTGCCATTTTATTACATGGTAGGCTGCTGCAGCCACCACTATCATCAAGACTCAGAACAGTTCTATTGCCAGGATACTGCATAATACCCATTTACAGCCGTAGCTATTTCTACTCTTCTCCCTGGCAATCATGACTCTGTTGTCTGTATCTGTGAATCACACACTGTACAACCTTGTAGTACTGGAGTTTTTCACTAAGTGCAATTCCCTTGAGATCCGTCCCGGCTCTGTGCATCAGTAGCTTGCTCCTTTCATGACTGAATAGTATTTCACTGTATGCATGTTTTCATATGCCTGTTGAAAGACATTTGGGCTGTTTCCAGTTTTGTTCTGCCATGAATAAAGCTGTTGTAGACACCTCCTTAGTCTTTATTATGATGATTATGTGGAAGAGGATATTAGTAAGACTTTTGGCCTTTGTACCCCAGCCACTAGTGTCTGTTCCCATATTTGGAGGATCTTTATTGAACCCAAAATCAGCCTCTGGTGAAGAGCGTAGTGTTTTGACTTTAAAATTTTGTACCTTAAAATACATTAATTTTGTCAGATGCAGTGGTACACGCCTGTAATCCCAGCGGCTCAGGAGGCTGAGAATGGAGGATCTCATGTTCAAAGGCAGCCTCAGCAACAGCAAGGCACTATGCAATTTGGTGATACCCTGTCTCTAAATTAAAAAAAAAAAAAATACAAAATAGGGCTGAGTAATCAAGTGCCCCTGAGTTCAATCCCCAGTAACTGCCCCCAACAAAATATATCAGTCTGTGTGGCTAAACTCATCTTTTGTTCTTATATTTATTTAGTTATTGTCTTAGTCTGTTCAGACTGCTATAAGAAAATACTGTTGACATGGGGAAGGGGAACTTGTAAACAATAAGAAATCATCTCTGCAGCTGTGGAGGCTGGAAGTCCAAGGTTGAGGTATCTGAAGATTTGGTGTCTGGAAACGGCTCACTTCCTGGTCCATAGATAGCTGTCTTTTGGCTATAACCTGACGTGGCAGAAGGGGTGAGGGACCACTCCTTTAAGAATCCCATGTCATTCACTTTGGGGATATTATCTCAACAGACTCACTTCAGGGGACATGAGTGCATCTTCGTAGCAGTGAAGCGTATCCTCTTCCTATCTTCATTGTTATTTAGAACTTATGAGGGTGAACCCTGGTTTTCTCTTGGATTGCTTGTCCCTGAGGAATGGGGACCTCTAGACAGAGAGGTTTCTCCATAGATACTCGCTCAGTGAGCGCAGTGATCCTTGGAGGGTTGGGAGACTCAGAGGGTGGATAAGGCACATCTGGATTTTAAGCCTAAAGCTCTGATCTTACTTCTGACCTCTGAAAAATAAACCTCCAGAGTTTTGAAGCCTCCTTCAAAACCAGTAGCAGTGGAACAGTATTGCAGCGTGTTGGGCTTGCTGTATGTCGATGGAGCCCTGGAGCTGGGTGCACAGCAGAGCCGGAGGGAGGGAGCACAGGCACCACTGTTCTGCGGCAGGGTGACTCTGGTTCCAGTGTGTCTTCTGGAATCTCATGAGTCTATAGAGTAGAAAGCGCGTGGGCCACATGGGGGGGAGGGGTGCCAAAAGGTGGTTTGGTGACCTGTTTGGTTACTAAGTGTTTATGACGTAGGTCAGATGCCCAGCTGCTGAGATTTTTATTGTTTTCCTTTTGAGTGGTTGGGTGCGGTCCTCGCTTTCCGAGAAGGTGGAAAGTCCAGGAGTCCCAGAGGCTGGGGAGTCGCTCTGCTGCACAAGTGAAGCTGGCCTTGGCCACATGACGACTGGCCAACATGTGCCCAGAGACTTGGTCGGTGCAGGGATGATGTGACCTTGGTGCCTTGTCAGTGAGCTGGCGGGGAAGGGGGGGGGCCTCCCTCGAAGATGATGGCAGTACCCTAGGTGGCTCTCGTTTGCTTTTTACTTCTTTTTCTGTCCCACTGCTCTTGAGAAAGTCTAAAATCTTCACCTGGGAATAGTAAGGTCTAAAGTCCAACTCTGATGTGCTTGTCTCAGATTCCTCCATGCTGTGAACACATTCCTCACGCTGTGGTCCACACTCGGGCCACCTTCCTCCACTTCCCACAGCGCCCCCAGGTCAGTGGCGTGCACTGATTATCCGTGCCTGTAACACCAACACCTGCAGCAGTTACGTGGACTGCAGCCCTCAGTGAGACCCAGCTTGCTCTTGGAAGCCTTCCCGAGCTTCCACTCCCACCCCACCCCACCACCTGGTGCTGTGGCATACATGCATTCCTTCATGCCGTCCTCACCTGTGATGGTGGCCCTGACTCTCAACTAGCTGCCATCAGCGTCCACCCCCCCCCCCAGACTGTCCTGAGGACGATGAACCTGTTTCTGTTCACTGTTGACTCTGTAGTGCCTGGTGCAGCACTTGGCATGCAATAGCTGCTACTCATTAAGTATTTCCCGAATTAAAGAATCAAATCAAGAAAATATTGTGACATGGAGTTTATTATTGTAAAATGGACTTAGTGCATGTTTTTAAGGGCCAGTTATATATGGCTATAAAATTATTGAAGTGTCTTAGAAGCCTGAGAACCATAATTCTTTCCTTTTTGTTTTCTTTCAGGCGGGGACCAGGGCTTACTGAACACATTTTTTAGCAGCTGGGCAACAACAGATATCAGAAAACATCTGCCATTTATTTATAACCTAAGTAGCACTTCTATATACTCCTACCTCCCAGCATTTAAAGCGTAAGTGTGGGTTGCTTCGCTGCTGTGGGACAGGGAGGGTGGGGGACTGGGGTGAATGTTCTTTGGGCGCTTCATTATCTTTTTGAGGGAAATCCCTGTTGGGGACCTGGGGGAAATTTTTCTCTTGTGATTGGAGTAAACTGGGGTTCCTGAGCTGCCTGGGGGACAGGGTTCCTATGGACACTGGGTGCCCAACCTCAGGTGACTCCTCGTGCTGGTCTAGAATGCAGAATGTGAGGTCCACAGCCCAGGCACAAGCCTCCTGCCTGCAGGCACTGCCAAGCGTGGGTCTCCTTCTCCCTGAGATTGTGAATTGTGCCTCCAGATGGGTGTGGGGAGCCTGGAAACAGGAGCTCCATGGGCCGTAGTTTGGAGTGAGGGTTTGGAGCCTGGTTCAGCCACTTGGTAGATGGTGACCAGGGCTGGATGGGCAGCAGCCTCTGCCTCAGGGTCTTCCTGAGAGGTAAGCATGCCACTCAGCCAGGGGAGCACCTGGCCTGCCCCTGGAGCTCAGGAAGTGGGAGCTTCTTGTCATGTTGGTTGAGAGCCAGGGCCGGGGCTGTGTCCTGCTCTGCCATTTACCGGCCATGTGACTTACCTGCCACGTCTCAGTCCCCCACATGCTAAATTGGGAGAAAAATGGTGTCTGCCTCATTGGCTGTCAAAAGGAACAGTGTGTGGGGCTGGGGTTATGGCTTAGCTGTAGAGCATTTGCCTCGCACATGCCAGGCCCTTGGTTCCATCCTCAGCACCACCTAAAAATAAATAAAATTATTGTGTACAACTACAAAAAAATAAATATTAAAAAAAAGGGGTGCTCACTGGACATCTGCTGTTTTGGTAACGTCCTCGTGTGGCACGGTCCCTGGTGCAGTCCTGATACCACCTCACTCTCTCACTCCCTGCCCTCTAGCCTCTGACTCATTGGTGTAGAACTTGAAGATTCAGATTTCTTGAACAGGGGCCTAGCTGTCAGGCTGATCCTGAGCACTGAAGCCCTCAGTTGCAGTTGGGCTGGTCTCTGCCATCCCTGTTGGGCAGGGACATTCCTTTAGTGAGCCGGAAAACAAAGGGCCTTTCACTCTCCAGGTTGCAGACCCAGAGCCTTCCGTCCTCCCTGTGCTGCAGTCAGGAGAGAGTCTGGCTATTTGTGGGAGGAGTGTTTCCTTTTCTGTTCTTTTTCAGGGCACACTCTGTCAGCGTCCCCCAGATAAGGGTGACAAGGATCATACTACCTTGTGTTCTGTCCTCCCTGCTCCTTGGCATCTGCTTCTGACTTGTTATAGCCTCCCAGTCCCCCTCCCATCTGCAGGGATGCAGGCAAGCTCCAGAACCTACCATCTGCACCCGAGTATAGCAGACCGAACAGGGCTCCCTGATGTTTCCACTTCTGAGTCCTTGGTCTCGGAAAAAAACAAATCTGCCTTGCCTGGGATGGTGGACCTGAATTATTTTAATCCTTATTGCCTCATACCTAACGCTTCCATTTTGAATAAGGTTTCTATACAAACCATGTCGGCTTAGCCCTCCAGAGTCGAATTTGTCAATAGCAGGGCAGTTGCTTATAGCTTAATTGACTAAATTTAGCTTAGCAAACAAAGAGGTGAGAGTGTGAAGGAGAGTGTTTGATAGTGGGACCATTGCCCGGTGAGCAGGTGTCTTGGGATGAGACATTGGGGAGGCAAGTCTGACATCTCCCAGTTGGCCTGAGTTCCCAGTCAGAGAGAGCCGAGTGTTTAATGGGTAACTGTTTCCCTGTGGTTTAGTTTGACTAAACCATTAACATGGGAGAATCAGAGCAGGTGGAAAGGAGTTTACTTCGGGGCAGGGAGATTGACGTCTGCTGTGATGTTGACTCCCTTCTCTTCGGAACCCAGTTGTTTTATATCCTGTAAATTAATTTTCCAGGAAAAGTTTCAGGTCTAAATTACCAAAATGGCTGGATGGTTTCTTGTTTCTGGCTCAATGAATGAGCGCTAATTTTGGAAATCTTGGTTTATTGCCATTAGCACGGAGTGTGACGCTGTGGAAATGGGGAGCGTCACTGTGCGTTGGCCAGACGTCAGCTGGCGGACAGGAGCAGTGCGGCTTTCTGCGCAGGGCCCTGGGGACATTCACTCTACACACCTGTGACAAGACTGCTCCAAGTGATGCCTCCCCTGGCCCACTGCCGCCTGTTAAGGAGTATTGAATGCAGACCAGAGAACTCCTTTTCCCTTCTTCTCTCTGCCACAACACATTTTTGCTTTTCTTGAAGAGAACTATCTTCAGGCGCTTTTTTCCTTGTATTTCCTTACCCTTGGGAAAGGAATGAAGAGATGTAGGAAGTCGCTTTTATGTTTTAGGTTTGGTCATCTAAGTCCTTTTGCTGAAGTAGCCCATGCTGAGTGGCAGCTTCTGTAGCTGGTCCTCAAAGAACCTGTGGCTGCAAGGCCCCACTACTGGGTCCAGAATGACCGCCACAGCAGACTCCAGGGCGAGGTCACTCTGTCATAAGCGGACTTCCCTCGGTTGCCACGGTGGTGCAGGTGGAATGGAGACCAGGGAGTGGTTTGGAGTAACTTGGGCTTGGTTTCAGAAGAGCTGGAGAATCTGTCTCAGGTCTCCAAATGGCCTATGCACCATTAGGTCACCAAGGCATATCTAGACATCCCAGAATGTCGGGTCTTAGCTATCTTAGAACAGTGCAGCCCTTGAACAGTGTGCTATTATGTGAAGTTTCAGCTAAAGAACAGCCTGTTTGAATCAAACTGGGACATGAATTTGAGCCTTGAAGTGGTTCATATCTAATGTCTCTCTCTACATATCATATGCACAGAAGAAAGCACAAAGGAAACAGACTTGATAGTTTTACACTTTGAATATAGCTTCTGAGAAAACCAAATTTAGCAAGTAACTTTTCTGTGAAATAGAAGATCCTCTTTAACATAGACTAATTTGAGAGCTAAAATGTTTGATTTAGTCATTATTAAGTTAATTTGTAGAGTATGCATTGGAAAACAAGTTATATATATGTTTCTTAATGAAATACTATTATTAAAAGTGCCATGGATGGTATTTGGGATATAGTTGACTTTTAATGAATATTAGTGTTGTTTTGTTTTGTTACATTTCTCCAACTGAAGGGTCTGCTTTATTGACGTACCATAGAATTTAGTTTTTGAATAGTGCTTAAAAAAAAATCTCATTTGTCTTTTTAAAATCAGTTATTTGGTGCTGTTTAGCTTTCTGTTATATCCTCTGACAGATTTTTAGGTTATGTCATGCTCCATAAAATATGCCTCAAGCAAAAATGCAGAATTTTCTGGTGTTGCTTCAAACCAGTACAGAAACAAATGGTCAAATGGATTGACTAACAGCCAGATTTACAAAATTCATTTCATGTGGACACTTTACCCTATGGCTTGAGTTTAAATATGACCCCAAACCTGGTCTACTGAAAAATCTTTAAATTCTTACAGTTATTTTTTTTTTAACTTTTTTGAAGCTATTCACATACATTTCTTTTTCAAGAATGAGTCTTATTAGCAAAGACCTCATCACACTCATTTTAAATCAGTACTTCCCTGACAGAAATCAAACCTCGAGAGTCCTCAGGTTTTACCGCTCCTGGGAGCCGGCCCTCCCCACCAGGCGATGGTTCCTCCTGTCCCTTGGCCCTGGACTCCTGCTCTCTCCCCAGGACCATTTTCTGTGAACCTATAACCTTTGTGCGTTCATTTCTTTTTATAATCCTACCTCCTGGCTCCCAGGCCTGAGGCTCCTATAGTGTGGGCCACTCTTCTTTTCCAGCCCTTTGTTGACCTGCTGGCCATTTGTCCATTGGGCAGACCTAGAGCTTGGCTCACCGAAGGCCCCAAGATGAACAAGACGCACCTGCTCAGGTGAGCAGCGTTCTCTGCCCCACAGGGCTCGGCCCGCCTCGGGTTGATTCTGGAGGAGGGGGCCAGCCGCTGTGTGCACGCCCGTTCCTCTTGTCTGGGTGTTAGAGGTGCCTGTGTGCCCACTTCCGAATGGGCCCTCTGGTCGCTGCTAACTTCATCTCCAAATGTTTCGTTTTTCAGAAGATCTGTCCTCTGCTACCTGTTCTGCTGTCCTAAATTTCATCAACAGCCATTACTTTTTTTTTTTCCTCTCCTTTTTATCTGTCCTGTGGATTGAATCCCAGGGCCTTGAGCCTTCTAGGCCAGCTTCACTCAATCCCCGAGTACACCCCAAGCCCCACCCCAGCCTTTAGAGTCTGCTCTGACATCAGGTAAAAAAGAGCTCCAGGAGCCCGAGCTCCAGGAGCCCGAGCTCCTGGGCAGAAGCAGTGCAGTTAGCTAGCAGTACCACTTCAGTGACTGGCAGGGGGGAGCAGGAGGCAGGCCGTCCTCAGAGGCCGCAGGCCTGTGGGCTACATGCTGTATTTGTGCCACAGACATGTTTCTGCTATGCAGAATTTTCTTTCTTTTTTATTTTTAATTCAATTATCAATGCTTAAAATTTCTCGAAACCCAGGTTTCTAACTTCTTTTGAAAAAAATCAAGCATGCGGTAGGCTGTGTCACATGTGGCTGTTGGGGTGGGAGGGGTCTGTGTCCAAACAATGGAAAGGAGTTTCATCTCCTGAAATGGGAAGGAGGTGAGGGAGGCAGGGGGGCAGGGATTAAGGAGAGATGTGCAGAGTGTAGGGGCTTTGGGTGCAGGAAGCTGGGTGCTGTGGAGGATGGAACAGGTGAGTAGATAAAAGCCAGCTGGGAGAGAGGAAGTGGAGAGATGATAGTGCAACCAAGGCAATAATCACCCATGGAAAAGAGTCCTAAGACGGAGCCTCAAGGCAGGACAGTAGGGGGAGAAGGGACAAGGTGAAGGGAGACCCTGGGAAGTGTGGGGGCACAGAAGCCACACAAAGAAAATGTTTCAAGGAGAAGGCACCCCTTCTCAGATAAGGGGACAATAGAGAAATGGCACTGGTCATGGAATGTGGAGATCACTGGTGACTCTGGCGGTACTTCTGGT